AGCATGCGGCCCCGCTGCACCAGGCTGCCGTGAGAGGAAACTTCTGCTCTTCCACAACGCTGCCAGTTTCCTCTCTGCGGGCTAATTTTAACCACCGTGTCACTGTAGTGCGTGTCAAAAACCTGACCCTCCTCTGACCTCCAACCTCCCACCCTGGCTACTGCCTGAGCGAGGCACCCTCATGCACCAGCAGCCGGGGCCGCCTCTGTTTGAAGCTGCCACGCTGGGACCCGGCGTCCCCCCATACCTGCACCGACAGGAGGAGGAGGAGGAGGAGAAGCCCCTTCCTCCCCGCGGGAGGCAGTCGCTGCTGTGGAGAGGTGGTGCGAGCAGGGTGATTGCAAGAATGTAATATTTCAGGGAGCAAGGGACCTGTAAGCACCGATTCTGCTCCTAAAAAATGTGTCCTATGGGACAGAGGTGAGCAAAGGACAAGGTGATGCAGGCTCAGCAGCCCCGGGAGCAGGTCGGGCTGCTGGGGACCCTCTTTCCCAGGAGAACCCTTTGCTGCTCGGGACATCCAGCCAGGAGCAACCCCGGCAAGTGTCACTGCAGGAACATTTCCATCCTCCTGGCTCTCCTTTAGGAATGATTCTGCGCAGGGGAAAGTCAGAAGGAAAGAGAACAAGAGCAAAGCGGGAATGCCTGTCATGGGAAACATCCCTCCTGAGAGGTCTGGGCTGCAGCGGCCGCGGGGGAAGTGGTGGAAACCTCACCGCCTGCTTCATGCCCAGCTTGAAGGGCTAAAGCTGCAGAGACCCGGCCTGACTCACACGGGGTGACTTCAGCCCAGGGATTTTCCAGTCCCTGTATCTGCAGTTCCCTTGTGCCCAGGCTGCTGGGCGAGCAAAGCACCCGCCACCGCCGGCACAGCTGCAGGGATGTGCCTGTGGCAGCACCGGGGGTTGAGCCCCACTGCCAGCAGCCACGCGCCGTGGGATGCGAGGATGCAGCCGACAGCAGCAGCACCGGGGAAGGGGACGCAGGAACTGTCTGGCTAGGTGAGGAAGAGATAAGCACCCCGTCCTGACACCATTCCTGAGGGATTTCTCAGGACACCTCTAGAAATAAAAGCCATCGCATCTAGTTTAGGACCCACGAGGTTTTCAAGTATGCAGGAAGGGCTGGGTGCTGACACAGCTGCAGCACAGTCATCTCTGCACAGCAAAGGCTTAAATCTCGCTGTCAGAGCCTCCTGGACTGGGAATGATCAGGCATGCTGCAGAAGAGCTCCCTTCACCCATGGCTGGGGCTGGGGACAAGGGCAGGTGGGTTCGTTCCTTCCTCCCCTGAAGAAGAAACAAGTAGGAAACACCAGATTTCCTGCCAAGCCAGCACAGCCCGATGCTTAAATTCAGCTCATCTGCTGGGGAGAAAAGAGCCCAACTGAAGGCCCATGACATAATGCCACAGCAACTCGTCTCATGAACACATTTTTCCAGCCCACATGAATGAAAAACAGGGAAGGAGCAAATGCTCTGCACATCCCCATCACGTGCAGCCCTGCTCGAGGAGGATGTGGCAGAGCCCCGGGCTGCTGGCAGCCAGGCTGGCCCCATCAGGGGGCAGCCCAGCCTCCGAGATGCTGGGAAAGAAGTGACCTGTGATTGGCATCCAGGTCTCTCTTGAACGGCGGCACGGGACCTCGCGTGCCACAGAGCAACCCGCTTTTGTCAGAAACTTCCTGTTTCGGAGTGGAAACGTGAGTGCCCGCGGCAGCGCCGGGATGCCCGGGGCAACGGGGATGGCCGTGGAGGCGCTTGCCAGCTCACATGGCGATACCTCGCTGCTGGAGTGGAGCGCGGTGAGGATGCCGGGAGCCGTGCCTGACCTTCCCAAAGGAATGGTCAGGTACAAAATGACACCGTGTCGACGTATTTGGTGATGCGGCAGCAGACACCCCGGCTCCGGCAGGGAATACAGCTGCCCCGCGCACCCTTCCCCCTCCGACCGTGCAGTGAGACAGCAGGAACCGAAAGCCTGGCTTCAAGTCATTGCTGGGTATTAAAATAGGCCTGACATGCACGCAGCCGCTCTCAAAGGAAAACTGAAACTGAGAATTGCTGAAGTGGTCTGGTGCCCCCGTCCGTGACCCAGGCTCAGTTCCCCAGAGGCGCGAGCAACCAAGGCACCGCCGAGCCCCTCGCCACTGCGGTGCCTCTCAGGGACACGTGGCTGGGGACCAAGCGCGGGGTGGAGGTGGCTTCGGCTGCAGCAGCCCCAGTTGCCAGCCTGGTTTCATCAGGCCCGGAGATGAGAGGTTTCTAATCTCCTGCTGCATCAGACAGGCTAACCACCAGCTCCCAGCACCAGCCGCTCACCGGCAGGCTGGCGGCTGCTAGGGCACGCCGACGAGGCTCGTTAGCGCTCCGACTGCTAATTCATGGGTCATACATTAACATACTAATCATTGAGTAAGATACAGCAGGACACGCATTAACACACACTAACTGCCTGTGGAGACCCACTGGGCTGTGCATTAATTGTACCAGCTGTTGTATTTTCAAAGCCGCTTTGCAGTGCCCGTGCCACCAGGACCTTGCGTGTGTCATCTCCTGCCAGCGGCAAGCAGGGTCCCCGGGTATAACGAGGGGTCCCCAGATCTAACGAAGCTGACCCCTTCTATGGCCTTGGCTGCATTTCCCCCCGCAGACAAAACAGGCTGAAGGGAAAAGCTTCCCCGAGTGCTGTGTGCTGCTCTTTAACAAGAGGAGGGCAGAGCACTCCCGCACGGGGCGGACGGCACCTGGCCCGAAGCAGACGCAGACCCGACGCCAGCACGTGTCCTCCAGGAGATTTAAGGGGAAGGAAGGGACTCGCTCCGAGAGCTGCGAGCGCTGTGCCTGGGGGGACATGTGCACCTGGTGCTGGCGGGGTGGCACCACCAGAAACCAGCCACGGTCTCGCTTTGGGTCAGAGGCGCGCCTGGAGCCGGGGTGGGGGGGGCAGCTCCTCTGCCCCCCGCCCTGGCCCTGCCAGCCCTGCTGCTCCGCACACGGCTCTTCCACAGCTAAGCAAATCGCTGTCACACCCACCGCCACCTTCAATCAACTTTTACAACTTGTTAATTTTACACAGCTTCCTAAAGAGCA